GCAGCGGTCCGGAAAAGCAAGCACCTAAGACATTACGGTCCGGAAAGACATGCAGCGGTCGGGAAAAGAGGATAGCACGAGACAGAGATGGAGACAAACAGAAGGCGAGGGAGAGAGAGAGAGAGAGAGAGAGACAGAGAGACAGAGAGACAGAGAGACAGAGAGAGGAAGAGGGAGAGGAGAGAGAGAGCGTTGTAAATGGTGAGCAGCGGGTGGTTTCAGAGTACGTTTTGGGTGCTTGCTTTTCCGGACCGCTGCACGTCTTTCCGGACCACAATGGCTACAATTAGAGTACGTTTTGGGTGCTTGCTTTTCCGGACCGCTGCAGGTCTTTCCGGACCGTAATGTCTACAATACGAGTACGTTTTGGGTGCTTGCTTTTCCGGACCGCTGCACGTCTTTCGGACCGTAATGTCTACAATTAGAGTACGTTTTGAGTGCTTGCTTTTCCGGACCGCTGCTCGTCTTTCCGGGCCGCAATGTCTACAATTAGAGTGCGTTTTGGGTGCTCGCTTTTCCGGACCGCTGCATGCCTTTCCGGACCGCAGTCGCTACGATTAGAGTACGTTTTGGGTGCTTGCTTTTCCGGACCGTTGCACGTCTTTCCGGACCGCATGTGTTTCAAGTACAATCTGTTTTGAGTCCCTTCTTTTGGATGTCTTAAGAACTAGGTAGCCCCATAACCGGCCCCAAAAGAGGTCTGAAACCAGTTCGACACATCTTCCTGCTCACCGTCTCAAGACTTCTTCTTTCTCTCTGTCTCTTTCTCCCTTCTCTTCTTTCTTTTCCCGTTCTTTCCTGTTTTTCTCCAAAGCTGAGGTAGCCTACGGACAAAAAGAGGTCTGAAACCACTCTGAAACACCCCGCTGCTCACCATTTACAACGCTCTCTCTCTCTCCTCTCCCTCTTCCTCTCTCTGTCTCTCTCTCTCTCTCTCGCCTTCTGTTTGTCTCCATCTTCCATCTTCCTCTCTCTCTCCTCTTCCTCTCTCTGTCTCTCTTTCTCTCTCTTTCTCTTTCTCTACCTTTTCTCTTTCTTTTTCATCTCCCAAAGCTGGGGGTACCCAAAAAACAAGCCCAAAAGAGGTCTGAAACCACTCTGAAACACCTTCCTGCTCACCATCTCCGGACTGCTGCTGCATGTCTTCCGGACCGCGTTGGCTGCTTTATCTCTCTCTATCTATCTATCTATCTATCTATTTATCTATCTATCTATCTGCTCCTTTTTCTTTGGATGGCCTATTTACCACCCTGGTTATCTATGTTTATCAACTCGAGATATTAATATTTAAGATCTAAATCAGATACGGTGGTAGTAGTAGTAGTAGTAGCAGTAGTAGCAGTAGTAGTAGTAGTGGTGGTAGTAGTAGTAGTAGTAGTAATTGTAGTAGTAGTGGTAGCTAGTGGTGGTAGTAGTAGTAGTAGTAGCAGTAGTAGTAGTAGTAGCAGTAGTAGTAGTAGTGGTAGTAGTAGCGGTAGTAGTGGTAGTAGTGGTAGTAGTAGTAGTAGCAGAAGTAGTAGTAGTAGTAGTAGAAGAAGAGTAATAGTAGTAGTAATAGTAGGAGTAGTAGTAGTAGTAGTAGTACTAGTACTAGTACTAGTAGTAGTAGTAGTAGTTGTAGTTGTAGTTGTAGTTGTAGTAGTAATAGTAGTGGTAATGTAGTAGTAGTAGTAGTAGTAGTGGTAGTAGTAGTAGTGGTAGTAGTAGTAGTAGTCGTCGTAGTAGTAGTAGTAGCAATCAAAATGTTAATTAAAATAGTACTTGTAATAATGATAACAATAGTACTTGCGCGTACCTTGGGCCGCCCTTGCGCGAAACTTGCGCGATGCAGGTTTTAGACCATGGGACAAATGCGAGAATAGGTCCTTTACTAAAAACCTTTCTGGTGTTTTTGGACGGCTCCCATATATATATATATATGAGCCATCGTTATCGTTTTTTTTTCCTCTTATCGTTTTCTGGGCCGGCAACGTATTGGCAGTGTTAAAGTGCAAGCCAAGCTAAAATGCAATGCACGGGGTTATTATACTACCCAAATGGGATGTGGGGGTAACTTTGAGACAAGTCACGTCTTAGCTGTCTTAGCTCTTCACGGCTTTCAGCATTTGTTTCTTACATGTAACATCCCCCAAAAAGCGGCTGAGATATCATAGATATCATAGGCCAAACTGGGCCTAAGCCAAATTCCTAGCCTCGGGCGCTGCCATGGCTGGCGAATCTCCATAAACTCATGGATCTTCCGGAGGGTCATTGGTTAGGAACTGGTTCCGAACGCCAACGAACTCAGTAAAGAACTGGAGGTCAAAATGTGTGTCCAGTCTGTCAACTTTAGGTTTCCCAGTTTCGACACTTCCCCAGCTGTTGTTTTTCCTGCGTGGTTTCGGGCTTTTAGACCATCTACAGCTAGCCGCCTGCCCTTATCTGCCCTTCAGCTTTCAGCTTAATTCCAAGGCCTATATCAGAGCCCATGTTTCATGTCGTAAGCCCAAGAATAAGCAACCCGCTTCTTTTGGGGATGGTTTGCAATTTACAGTAGACTCAAATGGCCAACGTTGGGTCTGGCTGGGGTCGGGCTTAGTGTTCTGCCACGAAAATCCATCGATATCGATCACCGAACGTTGCAGTGGTGCCTCCAGGAATTTCATGGCCCCACCCAGTTACGTAGCTGAAAAAAACCTCTGGAACCGCAGGAGACTTTCCAACTATACCGCCCCAGCGAGACCTCATTCTTCATGGGATGCGTGAAGACCTGCCGGGCTGTTTTTCGAACCATTGACAATGTCGTTGATTTTAGTTGGTGAAATGAGGATGTCTTGTGATGGTTGTGGGAATGCTAACTGTGAGCCAACACATAATATTCATTAATATTCATTCTTCGTGAAGTTTTCATGAAACAAACCAGAGACTGGTCCTTTGCCCATGTCTGATACCCATTGTTTCAACCTTGAATGGATAGAACAATCTTCGTGGGCATGTGAATGTCTAGCCTTTTTAAAGTGTTCTTAAAGTCGTTTGACCCAGATTTTTAGGGTCAAATTACAAGACCTTCAGATCCACAGGTTGTGGCATGTTCATGCATGTTCTCACTTGTTTGACCGTTGCATGTTGCCGAACTAGACCAAATCCGGTTGGCACATGTTGGCACGGTTTTTCTACTTCTTTATATAGTAACTTTGTAGAATCATCCTATGTCCGTTTTCATGGCCAATCTTCGATACCCTGCTTTTTGTTTAGCTGTTAATATATCCCCATCAACATGGCAAATCATAGTATGAAATTACCCTTCACCAGTCGGCTTCCCCAGACTTTTAAAGCCACTATCATGTGGTTTCTCATCATCTTCATTCATGTTTTCTGCGAAATTAGCCATAGATTGGGTATAAACTGGCTCCAAGTTCAACCCCAGTTGGAGTTCAATCTTCAGTTTCAAACAGTTTCTGTAAACTACAGATCATTTTAGGATACTTTAGGTATTCCCCAGTGAGATTTCGAAGATTCTCCCGGTCCAGTAAACCCGTTAATCCATCATATCACAATCTATCAAACATGGTATATCCAAACCACTAAACCATTCTAATCCATTAAACCATGTGTATTCCACTTATGATCCATTAGAATTATCAACTACTGTACATATTATCATGGCATCATCACTATAACATACTATAACCATAATCCATGATATGTCATTATAATCCGTTCCATGATCAAACATGGTTTACATTATAATGCCATCATAAACCTCCCCATGTTGTGGCACCAGTCTCCATGGTTCCCGGTCCTTGCGGCAGTTCGCGGCAAAGTGAAGGGCACTCTCGGTTTCGGCCTGGTAAAATCATGGGAAAAAGATGGGAAAAATTGGACATATGGTGGTGAAAACGTGGTTTTACCGTCAACAAATTGGCATCTCATGGGATTTAACATGATTTCACTTTAACAAAAAAAGGGAAAATCATGGGAAACATGCTGATGAAACAGCAACAAATGGGAATTTTCGGTGGGTTGAATGGAAAAAACAAGGGATTTCGGATTTACTACCCTCTTGGTTTGTCCGAAAAAAGTTGCTCTGACCGCCAGCTCCTGACTCCTTTGGTACCAGTTTAATCTTGGTGGCTTGTCGCTCCCATTTTGGTGTTATTCAGAGTCCGCAAAATGCGGTCTCTTCCAATCCACTCTTACCCTCTGGTTATGTCAAAATAGCTATTGAAAATGGCCATTTCTAGTGAGTTTTCCCATTAAAAATTGTGATTTTCCATAGTTATGTTAGTTTTCCAGAGGGTAATTGTGATGAATGGATTGTTTGAAGGGAGATGCGACAACATATAGTCTGATCCCCACCAAATAGTATCTAAAAATCCCTTCAAGCAATTCTTGACAGTAGCCATGGCTAGAGCACCACATCCCGAAACTATGGTACCCACCTGATCAAAACGAGTTAAAAAATGTCGCAACCATACATCCCAACAAAGATCATCAAAGGTTCAATCCCCCAAAAATAGGGATGGTATCTATGGCATTTATCTTTTCACCTGCCATTTTGATGCCATTTTCTGTGCAACCCTCGTGCCATCCATGTTCCACGCGCCGCATTTTTTACAGTTCCCCAACAAACCGTCCCGTCCACATTGGCGTCGCAATGGGTGACCTGCCGGGAGGACGTCAAAAACACAAAAAAACACCACTTCTTCATGGCAAATATCCCAGTCATGGTGGATGAACCAACTGTGTGAATATATATATACATATATATATATCTATACATAATATAATATAATATAATATAATATGATATGATATGATATGATAATGATATAATATGTATATATATATATATAATTATATATATACATATAATATGTATATATATATACACCGCCTTCAGCAAATCCAGTTTAGGATCATATCAAAAAAACATGAAATCCGAAAAATCTCATTCCGTCGCTGCATTTTGTTGGCCAGCGCCAGGTTGGGTGAGTTGAAAGGAGCAGCTGACCGCGCCTTCATCGAACCAGCAAAGGCGCCTGCCAGTCACGATTGGAGCGGCTGATAGTGACTGAATCTGGTTGGTGGTTTCAATCCCTCTGAACAATATTAGTCAGTTGGGGTTACCATTCCCAATATATGGAAAAATAAAAAATGTTCCAAACCACCAACCAGATTGCCTCCAAATTCTGATTTCAGCAGCAAAACCAGGATTTCATCAGCAATGACCATCCAATATGGTCTACTGCAACTAGCCAAGAAAAATAAAGAGCCGAAACTACAGATTTCAGCATCAAACACAGAGACTAAAGGGTGAGCACTGGGAGTTTCAGTGGTCCTACCCTGGTATCTAGTCATGAAACCGGGCGATGGGACCCAGGTTGTAAGCCACTGAGGAATCCAAGTACTCTCTGGTAGTCTAACAAATCCCGATTTGATATCCTGGTTGGTGGTTGACCTACCCCTCTGAAAAATATGAGTTCGTCAGTTTGGATGATGACATTCCCAATATATGGAAAAATAAAATTCATGTTCCAAACCACCAACCAGTGAAGAAAATCTGGACAGAATCTTGGCGCAATCCATTCTGAAATGTCACCCTGGAGGATGACGCAAACGAGTGCATCATGCTTCGCGTGCGTTTCATTCCAGGCATTTCTGTGGCACTGCTGGATAGCCATTGCTGCTCATTTCCAGAGCGCACGGCCGTTAATGCAGCGCTCACAAAACTGGAGTCTTTGGTAAAACCTAACGTGGCAATGGGAAATCCCCAGAAATTGATCCGAGAATAGTGAAAAATCCATCGGTACAAGGTCAACTACAGGAGGGTCCCATAGTATAGTGGCTTCAGCCGCCGAGACATGATGGAAACATCGGGATTCGAAACGGGAAGAGGACGCCTCGACACAGGGTCTTTGAAACCACCAAGAAATGGAAGGTCCATTGGTCCAAACCTCACCAAATGCACTAATAGATGTGATCCAATAGTAGATTTGTCCGTGATGGATTTTTCCCATGGGTTACCTGGGTTACCTCAGTTTGCAACCTCCAAAGAGGGGAGTTATCCCGGAGATATCATGATTCTTGGTATCAACCACAACCTGGGAAATCCTTCTCTAAAAATGGAAGAGAGTTTCTCTCCGATCGCCTTGCAATACTCGCTGGGATGAGTAATGCGGAAGACCACTGCGGCAATCAAACCTGGCCATGATGCCATGATGCCATGGCTGGGTGTGTTTGAACATGGGCTGTTCCCAAAATCTAATCTGAAAAATGAATTTACAAGCCAAAGGCTTGGACTTTCCATGGCTTTCCTGTCTTTTCCTTTGCTGAAGCAATGGATTTTGGGATACCATCTGGTAAACTAACATAACTATGGAAAATCACCATTTTTTAATGGGAAAATCCACTATAAATAGCAATTTTCAATAGCTATGTTAAATTACCAGAGGATACCATCTTTTCAGACCATGACGCGGATCCAGTGGAATCCACCGCGTGTAGGGAAGCACCACCGGGAGGGGGGCCCTTGGCTGAGGAATCTGGTGGCTTCAACTGGTATTGTGGTTAATATACTGGTTATTATATGGTTAATGTTAATGGTTAATATTAATGGTTAATGTTAATGGTTAATGATGGTTAATAATAATCTGGTTGGTGGTTTTTCGCCATCCCTCTGAACAATCATTGAGTTCGTCAGTTGGGATGATGACATTCCCAATATATGGAAAGTAATAAAATTCCATGGTTCCAAACCATCAACCAGGAATTATACCCTCTGGTAATTTAACATAGCTATTGGAAATGACCATTAATAGTGGATTTTCCCATTAAACATGGTGATTTTCCATAGTTATGTGGCTGTTTACCAGAGGGTAACCATATCATCCCACCAAACAAAATGATGGCGTCCTGCTCGCCAAAAAAGGGTGCCGAATGGGCGGTTCCATCATCCCATCATCCCATCATCGGCTGCGCTGAATCGAGCAAGTCCTCCCACCAAACCTAGGACCTAGCCATTACTGACCTAAGAAAAGCATAGAAAAGCCATGGTTTACATCACCTCCACAGAATTTTGTACAATGTTTCATCTACTTTCCGGATCTCAAGTCGCAATGCAGCCGACTTCATCCAGGCCTCCCGTGCACTGCCAGGTGCTGAACTTTAGGCAGGTCCCCAAAGAGATCCCCGCTTCCTAACCGCGCGGCAGAATCGACCAACCCAGCAGCACATCGATTTTTTTCAATCAACAAAACACATGGGTGTGTCTGAAAATAGTGTACCCCTAAACCCAATGGTTAATGATCATTATCCCTATTAAATGGCTATAATTGGGAATATACCCTATTTTATACCAGCCAGCCAGCTTATAGTACCCTCTGGTGAACTAACATAGCAATTGAAAATGGCCATAGAAATAGTGGATTTTCCCATTGAAAATTGTGATTTTCTATAGTTATGTTAGTTTACCAGAGGGTACACAAACGGCAACTGGAGCAACAAAAAATGGGATTTTTCACACTGCAAGAGATGATCGTCGAAAATGGTGGTTGTGAAACCTTCTGCCCCATGAAAATTGAAGAGAAAACATGAAATAACAAGCGTTGAGATACCTACCCAGCAAATAGGAGGCTTACACGTTAGACACGTGTGTTGAAACATTGAAAAGTGATACCCCCTAAAGCCATCAAACAGTGAGTGGATGCTTGGGTGCTCAAACATGTTTTGGTCCCAAAACTCCGTCTTGACACGATGAATTGCCGCTGTCCTCTCTTGAATCCCATGTTTGCGTTGGTAGTTTAAAGAATAAATTCTACAGGAAAATCGCTGTTAAGGTTTCAGCCATGAGATTTCCAGGGTGTAGATGTATTGCATATCTGCGTACACGTATATCTGCAAATAATAGATACTGTATGTCTACTTCAATTGTTAAACTTCATTGAGGTGAAATGAGCCTGAATTGGGGTGGTTCCCCTCAGTAGCCACCATCTATGGATTTGTCGTTCTGAGGCAAAAAAAAACAACGCATTTCATATCTAGTGGCAAAGCATCTCAATGACCCCTGTTGTCAGTAACCCCCCATGTTTGGAACATCCCCCATCTTTTGGGTCAAAGCACATGTGTTTGGTGTTCAAATAACAAAAAGCGGGTTTTATGAATAAGTGTCCCATATTTGACCAGGAAAAAAGCCATCTGTAAAAAGAGCTTTGGATCATCCACCCAGTAGCAAAACAACAAAGGTTTGGAACCACTGAGTAGTCATTGGCCAGTGTCCAATTTGTCCCAAAACGTCCCTATTTGCTGGCGAAGATCCCGATGTTTGCCCGTGAGATTCTACTATCACTTGGTTGGGAAACTCAAAGCTCTGGCTCCCATTATTCAATAGGGAATATGCTAATGTATGTGTATGAATGATAGTACCTCACAAAAAGATAGAAAAGTAACTATGATTTATATATATAATATTATATATATACATATATATATATATATTATAATCACTACTTCAATTAGGAGCCACTTCTTTTCCAAGCTATGGCACCTTGATGGAGCCCAACTCTTCAAGGTTCAGGAGCCACACCCCAGCCTCAGATTTTTCAAGCGGGTCTTCAAGCAGCAATGGTGATTTAATGGGAATTACTGGGGTTTAATGGTGATTTAATGGGAATTACTGGCAATTGAATGGAGATTTCATGGGATTTAATGGAGATTGAATGGGGCTTCATGATGATTTATGGGATTTTCTCAGTGATTTTTCATGGGATTTGAACCTTCAAACATGGTATTTCATAGTGATTGAATGGGATTTTTCGTGGTTTTCAACCCAGAAACCACCCTGCAGGAAGACCCATGGTTTGGTCCTTGGATCTACATAGATTGGAACCTTAAGAAAAAACCTCTGGGGGGAATGGCTGGCACTGGTTGAATCTGGTGGCTGGTGCCTATTGAATTCTCGTGCCTATCGGATAAAACATACTAAATTAGTAAAAGATGAATGTATATAATAGGGAATATCATATATGTGTTTAATATATCATGCAAAAAAAGAATGGTGGTAATAGGTAAATATTCCTCTATCATTGGATATGTAATATGTTGCAACAAGACTAGGAAATATGGAAATATCATGATCCCTTCCCCCAACAACGATGAAACCCGCAGCCAGATTTCATTCGGGTTACTTCCATACCACTTCACTCGGGTCAGCAAGGGTTGGTTGACTAAGGTTCGTTCACCCGCTTGTGGGTGCTATACTTGGAGGCCCGTCTCTACCAAGCTCAATATGTCAACTGGTTGGTGGTTAAAAAATCATCTTGAAAAATATGAGTCAATGGGAAGGATGACATCCCATATATGAAATGGAAAGTCATAAAATGCATGTTCCAAACCACCAACCAGTCAATATACTCTACTGGTACTAGTCACTAGTATGACAGTGCAGGATCAGACCCATCTTTGCTGGGAGCTTGCAATTGAAATTTAAACATGCGGTTGCTGAAATCCTCCAAAAACAGGTTCCCACCACTCCAAACGGTTCTCCCCCACATCAAGAAAGTGGAGCATTAAGAATACCCCTATCCCATCCGGTTATACTGCTTGGTTAGTCAACATTCCTATTGTGAGTTACTTCATAATCCCCATCAAACCAGGTAGTATAATCCCCCGTGTCCCTATAGTTCAACCATGTTTAACCCATCAACCCAAAAATCATGGCTCAGTTGCCCCTGGATTTGCTTAAGGGGTCCCCAAAAAAATGAAAAAAAAATCTCGTCATCGATTCCCCAGTCATGGTGGATTGCCTATTGGGAAAATGTTAGCCAGTCATCACCATAATTACCCTCTGGTAATTTAACATAGCGAACTGGAAAGATCCACCATGCTATCAATGGGAAAATCCACTATTTCTATGGCCATTTTCAATAGCTATTTTGACATCACCAGAGGATAAACAAAACCCAGTTTTTTTGGGGCTTCGAACCCCCTGGGTCCACACACGGCCACGGCCGGGTTCATCATGCCCCCGGTGATGGACCCCACCGCGCAGCCGCCCGTCATGACGCAGAAGCCCTCTGCCAGGCCGAAGAAATAGTTCTGCCAGGCTGACGTTGATCCATGGTGAAACCCTTAGGAACAGGGTGATTGAATGGGACCGATGGGATTTCATGGGGGATTTAGATGATTTATGGGATTTCATATGGGATTTACCCTAGGTAAACCTTCAAAAAGATCTGGAAAACCATTGGGAAACCTATGAAAATAGTCTACAAATGGTTGATTTTCCACATCGAACTGTTAGTTTTCTCCTAGGGTAAATGTTGATGGAGTTATTCCGTCGATCCTCTATATCTTGTTGGCTTAAAACTTAAATCCTCAATTTTATACTACTTTCAATTCCCACAGGTTTCAGAAAATTAGATCAGCCTGAGCCCATTTGGGGATGGTCAATGGTCAAGCTAATGATCATCGACACCATGGTGACGTGACGAGACGTCCTTAAACATTTGCACAGATCAACGGCGAACGTGATAAGATTGGTTACCAACAAAAATGTCACAATACGATCAGTGGGCAACATGAATACGGACAACAGAGTGTAGCCAACATAAAGTAAGGATGACTAGGGGAGTCGAATGCCCAGTTAGGATCCGTGGTTCATAACCATATGAAATAAGTTAGTAAGAGGTTAATAAGTGTTAACAAACCATTCATATCAGACCCTAATGATATGGAAATTCATTGAAATACCTCAGTTCATACCCTATATACTTATATATATATATACAATTTTATTCTATATACATATAATTATATGGAATATCCCCAGTTGTACATGGCTAACCACTTAGATGTTGGTACGTTGGTGCCTGTCGTCTTCCGGCCGTCGGCACGGTAGGCACGGCACTGGCGGCACTGGCGGTGGAACATGCCAGGGTTGCGTAGGCCAGTCTGGGCATCGCAGGAGAAATGGGGGATTTCACCGACATTGGGAATTTACCGGAAATCCATGGAAAATGATGGGAAATGATGGGAAAATCTGGGAATTTAGCCGACATGGTGATGTCAAAATGGTGATTTAATGGTTAACAATGGTGAATAATAGGATGATATGGGAAGTTACCCTCTGGTGATGTCAAAATAGCTATTGAAAATGGCACATTTATTGTGGATTTACCCATTGAAAATGGTGATGTTCCATAGTTGTTTGTATGTCTACCAGAGGGTAAGCAACAAAAAAGCTGGAATTTCGCATAGTTTAGCCATGTTTTTTCCGCATGAAATGAGAAATTCAGCCACAAGTAAAAGTGATACAGCCAGTAAAATATGGGCAACAATGGAAAATGAGCCAACGGAAATAGTGATTAATCAGATTGCGCATGCAATTACAATCATGTCCAAAATCACCTGTTGAAAAAGGTTCATGTTGAATGGGATAAAACATTCCTGGATTCACTGCACGGGTTTCCCACGGTGGATACGGGTGCCAAGGGACACGAAGGTGAAGACGCCTTCAGCTATCCCCACCTGAGAACGCACGGTTCTATCACCACACTGCAGCTATGGGTGGCGTGGATATTCAAACGTGTGGGATCCAAAGTGCGTACAGTATCCATGGCTACAAAAAAAAAGAGGTCAGTTTACTCCCAGGCCAAAATATTGAAAGGTTTGGTGATCCATGGTTGTTTTGTTGACTGACCCATATTCAAAACCCATCATGACCCAAGCATCGGGACCACATGACCCTCACCAAGGCGCTGTCACCACGCCATAATCCGTCCTGAGCTGGGGCTTGTCACGTCCGGAAAGCTCCCATAAATTCCAATGTGTATTCCAGAAGTATATTAGAATAATTAATCATATTATTCCAATACGTGCATAACGTTCTACAGTAAGGAGAAAATTCCAATGGAATTGAATACATTAAAATTGCAATTTTGATGAAGTATCTGAGTATGTTTTTGGACATACCCATATTGAGGACTTGAAGGGTAAATGGCTGTGGGTCAAAACCCTGTACCCCTGATGACTGATGAATATGAAATTAGCTGGTATAGCCATTCTGGATGTAAATGGATGTTCTCCACACCCAATGATGGTTCTAAAGGTTTTGACACATAGAACTTGCTGAAACTAAAAATGAGGTACCAAAGGACCCCAAATTTGAAAGGCAATTCCTGCGTGATCGTGACAATGGTGAACCTGAAACGCAGAAACGCAGGTACTCAGATGCCCAAATCAACGAATCTAGCAGTTCCTCATGTCAAGACACCATCTTGAAATGACCTTTCTGATCCTTTTCCTGCTGGAAAAAACGATGTCATACAATCTCCACATGTTTCTTGGCTCATAGCCCATCTAAGCTCAGCATATACCACACAGAAGCCATGGATGTCCTGATTGGACGATGCTGATGAGCTCGCCATCTTTCTGTACCCAAACTAGAACCCATACACATAAGTGTGTCTAAAAATGGTGATACCGTCAAATTGGACTTTGATACGGATCAGAAAATTTCAGGCAGGCTGGCCATGGATTATCCCATCATCCCAAAGCTCTAATAGTCTAAGTCTCCAAGGCTTAAAGGGCAACGGAGTGAGCGATAGAAAGGCGAAGGGGCCGTTCATGTGGTAGACCTGGGTTACGGTGATGAAAGCAGGGTTTTTCGCCAGCTGTGATGTGCATCCCACAAAATTCACACCATTTCACAACACTATCGGATGGGATGAGTCTAAAACTGGATCTAATCAAGGCGTCGCAACGCGATTCAACAGGTCAAGTCCCGAAAGAGGGGAGCTGCCCGTTGCAGCCCATCAAACCATGGGCAAGACAAAGTTTTTGGGCCATGACCATCGGGAAACCAAGCTGACCAAGCTTGGATAGAGCTGCGAAAGGCGATGTATGAATCAATGGATTGGTTTAAGGGAAAATTTACAGGAAAGCCCCATATTTAATGGGAAAATCTATGGTTTCCTGTAGATTTTCCCTTAAACCAATCCATTGAATGAACAGCTCAGGACTCAAGATCAAGGGAAACAATCTTGACATCACACTGCTGGTCGCTCCAAACATCACCACAACTTTGAGACCAGCAGAGCGGGGAGATGACCAGCAACGAAAAATACGAACGAGACTGGTTGGTGCTATACCTACCCCTATGAAAAATATGAGTTCGTCAGTTGGGATGATGACATTCCCAATATATGGAAAAATAAAAAATGATCCAAACCACCAACCAGGAGATTACTGGGGAAAAGTAAAAAATGTTCCAAACCACCAACCAGGAGATTACTGGGTGCTTCAAGTGCTGTTGATGAAACGCCCCCAACCACGCGGGATGACCAATAGATTTTGAAGCTGTGCAGATCAAACAGACTGAGACGCCCCAAGTTCCATTTTTGGGGTAAGTTGCCCTGAGAAAAACAACCCCTACGGTACTACGGTGAGGTCATATTGTGTAGTTGCACAGCATTCAGAGTATGAATCCCCAAATCTTGAGGAGAACGCCATTTGGCTCGAATGTATTCTTTGGTATTGTGTTCATTGATTTGATTTTCCATGTTCCAAGTTGAGTTTCAGGAAAAATGTATATTCCAAGTATCTCTCTACAACTCTACATGGCATTACATTTCAAAAATCCATGGTCAATCTTTGCTACGGTAGTCCACAAAAAATTGTCATCTTTAAGATCTTTTGCTGGTTATGTTCATGATTCTGGGTAAATTATAATAATTCACTAACCTGAATTAAGGCCATTTGGGGATGATTTACCCAGATGATTTTCCTGTTTTTTTCACCAAATTTGCAAATAAAAACAATGAACACAACCAGCAAAAAGATGAAATGGACGAACAATGAAAACCCTTTTTGTATGATGGTAATTTATTAATACAGTACATGGCCCATGAATTAATACATTACCATACATTACCAAACCATCACCAAAGGACTGTCATCCTTTTTTTTTTGTTTTTTTAAAAAGTTCATCCATTGGGATTTCCATCACCGATTTTCATGAACAAAGAACAATTGGTGAAAACCCAATTGGGGATCTATTCATTGTTTTTGTTCATTGCGAATCAGCCAGATACCCTGCAAAAAATGACAAATTCTTTGCTGGGACATGTAGATATTCCCATGTAGATACCAAAAGACTAAAGGATTAGTTTGTATCCATCTAAGATTTTTACCTAGTATCTACCATTTTTACCATGGATCATGGCGATTTAAGTCTGAGTTTTTGTTGGTTCATCCCATGTTTTCATCCCCATAGAAATCACCGACCTCTGGGGATGAATCCAGCCAAGCGACCGCCACCAGCAGCCCTGCAGAAAGCCCCGCCGCGATCTGGCATCGTTTGACAAGTTGGGATGGAAAAAATCTGTGGGAAATGATTGGAAATGATTGGAAATGATGGGAAATGATGGGAAATGGGAAGTATATGATGCGATATATATATATATATATGTGTATATATATATATATATATGTGTGTATAGGAAAAAAAAAAAAAAGGGAAGTATTCACTGGAAATACAACTGTTCAATTCTGTTCATGTCTCAAGAACAATAAACCAAAGAAAAGGAATCTGTGGGAAATGTCTAAAATTCATGGGGAAATCTGTCTCCGGTCACGGCCTGATGTTCAACCAATTTTGTTGGGGGTAAACCCAAACATAAACCATCCCTAAATATTGCAATAAATGAATATAAATGGATCCTATAAACCATCCCCATATGGTAGGTTTCTTATTGGGTTTCCCTCATTGAATAAATTGTCCAATTTATAGGGTTGTCCCGGAAAAGAAACGTCTGTTGAAACAAAGATGGGCCCCTGCTCCAAGTACTGAAAATCCCCGCGCTCGTAGCATTCTTTGCGGTGTGAAGCCATCAAAATGACTGGTTTCAACCAGCGAATGACGTCCAGTGTTTGTGGTGGAATCCTACATCTGTTTTGGCTGAGTAAACTTGGTGAAACGAAACGACGGTTTCTGCCTGGACCAGGGCATAGAGCAAACCATCGGCCACAGGGCAAACGCTTCCTGGGATAAAATTGATGACGAGCAGAAATGTTTTAAAATGTTGAATCAGCACCAATGGTGTAAATCAACTCGGACATGGTGATTCACGAGCATATCACGGGATGTATGTATATATATATATAACCATCAAAGGAAAGGGAATCATTTGCGAATTCAAATACCCTCTAGTAATTTAACATAGCGAACTGGAAAATCACCATTTTTTATGGGAAAATCCACTATTCCTATGGTCATTTTCAATAGCTATTTTGATATCACCAGAGGGTACCTCATGGTGAGGCGGGACCAGTTTTTAAACGCCGAGATCTTGGCAACATCTCAGCCATGGGAGTCGGGGGGATCTTCCTAGCTGACTCCCAACGGGTTGATTTAACCTCCTGGCTGACTTGAAATAATAACAAACCAACAAAGATATGGAGTCGTGCCGCATTGTTGTTGTTGTTGTTGTTGTTGCAGTTCACATAGTCCATGAAATGGAAATTGTTCCTTGAGGGTAACTGTCACCCAGATATCAAGAATAATGATGCAAATTAATTTACCACATTTTCATTACTGGTAGGATTTTGTTTTTTTTTCATGGTTTTTCAAGAAAAAGGTTGTCATATCGGTTGTTATCTTGGTGATTTGCACACTCAGCCATTATGTCCAATCTTGGGGAAAAGAAAACATGCTTCCTGGCAGGACTTGCAAGGCTTGTGATGGTGATTCTTTCACCATTAAATCCCATGAAAAGTCACCATAAACCCTAATGAATCCCTATTTAAATCACCACTTTGTTACAAGTAAATCAGCCAATCCCAGCCAAAATCCCATTACCCTCTGGTAAACTAACATAGGTATTGAAAATGGCCCAGTCGAAATAGTGGACTTACCCCCAAAAAAAAAATGGTGGTTACCAAAGGGTTTTCCAATCACTGCAGTCCATTGGAGACTGCCAAGTCGCGACCACTCAGCACCACCGCCAAAGTGACGGCAGGATTGAAGTGGCCACCTGACGTCTTTCCTGAGGAAACGGTTGGATTGGGTGGTGGTTGAGCCAGCCCATATAAACCTATACATATATAGGTACCTTTGTACCACTGTATACATTCGAATATTTTCTATATATATTGTACATTATATAATGTCTCTATATATATACATATTATTATATATATATTATATTATATTATATTATATTATATTATATTATATTATTTTACTTTATTTTATATTATATTATATTATATTATATTGTGTATATATATATATATTATATTATATTATGTATATATATATATTATTATATATAATAGATATATATATATATACACACAGTATATATATATAATATATATATATCATATCATATACTATGTACACATATATATATATATATTATAGTGTGTATATATAGGATATATGGTGTATATATATATATATCCATCCATCCAATGGGCATCTCGCCGAGAAATGTGGGCTTTTGAAAAACGCCACCTAGGACGGGTTTGTTTTACCACCACCACGACGGACGCTGGTAAGGGACTCAACTTAGGACAGTTACCCTCTGTTCAAACCAATTTGCTGCAAAATCACCCATTTATAGTGGGATTTTCCAATTAAAACCTTCATTTCTAGTGTCCAATTTCCATGTTTGATTACCCGAGGGAAGGTGTCTACTTCCGCTGGCTGCCAAGGTTGATCTTCAACAGCTGGAGGGGGCATCTAAGACAATGATTCCATGACAGGATGCAAGTCTTCTTTGCCGGGTTTTATCATGCAAAAGTGGGAAGCACCAACATAATTCTGCTATACTCGACAAGAAGGGCGCCCCTTAGATAGGTATACGGTATATATAAGTTATTATAAGTTCATTTACAACTGGCTGACTAGGACTTCTGCCCGTATCCTTTTTGGTTGGATGGGTTTATCAACAGATTTACAGCAACAAACTGGGGAGCTGGAACCAGCTCCAACAGAAATCGACCAAAAGGGATGAAAAGCGATGGACCCAAGAGGTAGTAAATGGATCCCTTAAAAAGATGGAAATCTAAGATCCTATGAAAATAGTGATGAATAACTGAATAACTCTTCTATCTTTCTGGATTTTTTTCCAGGTAATGGTATGCCAACATCCCAATGTGTCCCATCTATCCATCCTTCACGGAATAACCAACGCTACTTCGTCTGTAAACCAATCCCCCTACCACATGATACCCTCTGGTAATTTAACAGTTCGCTATTGAAGCCATGGCCCAGTCGAAATAGTGAGTAAAATCCCATTAATAGCATGGTGATTTTCCAGTTCGCAAACTGTTAACGTTTACCAGAGGCCATGCCATTGTTGCCGTTCTGACTTGGAAAAGTCCGAATCCCCGGATCGCTGGCGAAGCTGTTCAGCATCCCCATGGGACCTTTGAAAAAAACCATCGTCCCGAGGTTCAGAAATCATCGTCCCCGAAAACATGAAAACATATGAAAAAGCATATTAAAACCATCTTTTTCCCCTGGGGTTGAAAAAAAAACTCCACAAATGGTTTCCAAAGTCCCGTGGGTTTCCCACCAGCCCAACCACCTCATCCTCCCAGTGTCCCAATGCGTAGATCATGCTGATCAATGCTGCTGAGCAAGACCATGCAGTCGACTGGCCCCGCGGCTGAGATACGCGACATATCGGGGATGTGGAGCCAACTTCTCGATGCTGTTTGGTATCTGGAGTCAACAGAAATAAGTTCTTAATGGCTATCAAAACAAAAAACTGGGACACCATCGATGCTATCAAAGATATCAATGATATTCACGGATATTCACTGATATTCAATGATATTCAATGATATTCAAAGAGATTCAAAGATATTCAAAGATATTCAAAGATATTCAAAGGCTGTTTCTTGAATAAAACGCTCTGGATGCTGGGGTCCAGATTCAGAATCGGACACGGCCTTTTTGTTGACCCCATCCAGAAACTGCCCCAGGGATTCCACCAACAAAGAACGGCCTTCAGGCATCGTCGTCATCATCATCATCATCATCATCATCATCATAATCATCATCATCATCATCATCAATAATGATAGTAATATATGATAGTAATATATGATAGTGGATATTAACACTAATAATCATAGTAGTACTACTATGATCGATAAAGATCATCATCATCATCATCCATTTCCCCATCATTTCATCATTGCCATGATATTCCCAGAACAAAAAAAACAGTTCTTGTTGGTTTATCCCTAGTTTTTTTGACATGATAAAAACCATCAAATCATCATCGCCCTGGAGTCACGTCAGTCCTGGCCTCCGAAAAACTAATGATGTTCAAACCATAGGTCAGCACCTGGACCACTTCGTTGGACCATGACATCCATGACCGGATCCCAAAAAAGGGCCATCCAAATGGCGGCATGGGTTTGATTGGGTAGATCCCCTCTGGTAATTTAACATAGCTATTGAAAATGACCATTTATAGTGGATTTTCCCATTGAAAATGGTGATTTTCCATAGTTATGTTAGTTTACCAGAGGGTAGATTGCTGGCACCTCCAAGAAGTTTTCGTCATCTTCCCAAAAGGAAACTCCGAAAAACAAAAACGCCGCATCCTCACCAGTTGTTCATCCATTTTCATGGTGAACTCCCAACTTTAGATGGGTATATGTTTGCTTGTCTATCTCATTAATTCCCATTGATTCCTCCTACCAGCAAATCACCTTGGATCCAGTAGAACTTCCAACTTTTAAGATGTATTGCAGTGGCCACCAAATGTTGGGATACGAATATATCAATTCCATGGAAAATCCTATCAAATTTCCCCATTTTCCCATCCTTCAGATCTCACTTTACCATCACATCTGTCCAAGCGTCGTAGGTGAAGGTGCCCAGACTCAGCGAGTCGCCGAGTCGCCCGAGAGATGGTGAGAGTTTCTAGAAAATCATCGACAACAGCGTGATTGATGATGGGGTTTAATACCCAGAAAATATGGCCTGAAAAATGGTACTAACGTACCTCCAATTTAGGATCCTGAAGATCTCCCATTAATTTGAAAATCATCTACAAAATTCTTGGATATAATCAATTGTATAATGTGTTTGATGATTTTCAAATATCAACAATCCAATTATCTACAAACAAGTGTTGGATTGTTGCTTGTTTTTAGGGAAACATTGGGATATAATTGATATAATGGTGATATGATATACAATCGACAATGTCGGGAGGAAAATTCACCCGAAGAACCATCCAATTTTGGTGTACAGTACCCCTATTTCAAGAAACCTCCGACCTGAGCCGTAAACCCATTTCATAGACAATGTCCACATTTTTGCCATAAAAAATCCATTGAAACATGTCATAATTTTTGCAGAGTAATTTTCTGACAATCAAACATGGCTTGCTGGAAAATGCACCATTTTTACAGATGCTTCTCCCAGCCACAAAACCGCAATTTATACTGGATTCTGAGCTAGCCATGCTAGCCATGTTTGACACCGGAGGGAAGTGTCCCCATCCCCATTGACTCCCACTCACTTGGTTTATAAACTCCATTACCTACAGACACTTACAGATATTTCTACCATAAATCCTATCGTTTTCCTATATTTTCCCACATGTTCCTATCATTTTCCCAGTTTTTCATAGGCACCAGCCATCCACCATTTCTGGAGGTCCTTGCCCCCGAAAAAACATCACTTCTACCCAGCTGCAACTCCGCCAGCAGCCGGGCGGGTCTGCGCGGTGCCATGAGCTCTAAGAACTCCTCGCAGCTGTCCTGGCAGATTTTCTATGGAAAAAATTGGAAAAATCACCGACCCAATCTATAGATAGTTTATAAGTAAGGGGTTGTGGTTTATAGTTTATTTATAAGTAAGTTGGTTGATAACTCCAACTACTTGGGTTTGTAGTAAATATATCGAACTACTTAATATTTAATGGGGGTTATAGATAAAAACCAACTTATACCCAATCCCAATTATAGTTATAGATATGTATCCCAATTAGTGTCGATGAGTCTATGAGATTTGCATATCTAATTGGGTTATTGTATACTACATTGCCAGTCTTAGATACCCTGCTAAGAATTGAATTGTTAGCTGGGAAAATGTATATATTCCTATTCATGAACTGGTTGGTGGTTTCACCCCCTCTGAAAAATATTACTCAGTTGGGATGATTATTCCAATATATGGGAAAATAAAAAATGTTCCAAACCACCAACCAGTGAAAAGATTACAGGATTTATAGAACTACCCATCCACGGTTGACCATAATCGAACATGGCTAGCTCAAAAATTCCTGAACTAAATGGAGGTTTTGGTGAGAAAATCCTCTATAGACTATAGATGGAAATTATAATGCATGGAATATAAATGGAAGAAAAGGCCAAGTGAAATCGGAAATCTGATCATAAATGGGAAAACATATTTGATTTAATTGATGCAATTTGTTGTTTTTATTTGATTTGAAGTCGTGTTCCAAAATTTGGTTTTGTGATGGAACAAAATGGACAATCCTCTACAAATGGATTGGTCCAAAAATTTGGCGGCCCCAAAATTGTGATGTTCATGGGGGAAATGATGGTAAACGATGGAATGGCGAAGGGTCACTCGGGGTGACTGTTTCTAGCTAAACATATTTCTTGCCTCACCAAAAACATGAAACTCAGAGGTATATATTCCTTTTTCGTTCGGGCCGCTTGTTTTAACGATGCAAAATGGCGGAAGTCACCAAGAAATATCTGTGGATCAGCTATCACCATATCAAACCCCAGAGACGTTGGTCATTTCCAGCGTTCCAGCCATCCTGGTTCCTGAAATCCCCATTGCTGTTTGCAACAAAAATCACCATTTTGTTGGTTCAACATGGATAAACCCATCATTTTGGCTGCTGAGATCACTGAGATCCCTCCATTTCCCACGATTTTCCACCGAAATCCCGACCTCTGCGCCGGCGCGCAGCCAGGTGAAGAGGTAGGTGCCCAGCAGCGCCCCCAAGAGCTCCGCAATGATCCAACCACTGCCGTACTGCCTGACGATCACGTCACAAGGGTTGGGCTAGGGATATTTCACGATAGAAATGGGAAATCATATACAGAATGGTGCCCCCCAGTTATAAGTTGGTTTATAAACCCCATGAATACTATAGTTATATCTGCCATAAACCATAGTTATAAACCAACTTAGCTAACTATAGGGCACCACCTTGTACAAATCAAATAGAAATTATAGAAATTATAGAAATAATGGGATAATCACGCTAGAATTTGGTAACTATAGAAAATGCCAAATATGGGATATGAATGGATATGATGGGGATGTGATGGTAAGTATATACTAATCATATTGCCTTGCCAGAGTAACTAGCAACTGTTGGGTTTATGGTGATTAAATAACTATAGTTGGACGGGTCTTATAAACAAGCTTCTAACCAGATAACAATATTGTATCAATATTATATACAATTGTGATAACCAGATAACCATCAATACCCGACAGTACCCAGTAGTAGCCATTGAGAACCATGGATACCCATTGATTTACTGATAAAACCATGGCAGGGCATGTGGGATTTTAGCTTGGGAATGTTTGGGATAAATTCAACCAAGGGGTATAAATCTTCCAATTGTTGAATCATGTTATAGCAATCACCAAAAAGATAGAAAAGTTGAACTCTAAAAATGATGGAGAAAACATCAACTACGATGCTGAAAATACTTTTCTTTTGCGGGCTTACTATACAGTATATTTGCTGGTAAAACATGGTAAAACCATCGAAAATGTGTGGGTTCTTTGTTCGTTCATGTTTTTTAATGATTATGATAAGACAATCCATAATTTCAGAGTTTGGGAAAAAGGAAACAACATATGGTAATCAATCCAAGTTGCTTCATTTGAAAGCACTAGAATCACTAGAAAATAATGGTAAGGTCAGGCAGGTCAGGTATCCTAATTCCGGGAAACACCAAATGAAGATAGAAAGTGGTCGATTTCACCAATAACTGGGAGAAAATCCATCTGTGGTCAGTGACTCATGTAGATAGGAAATCTGTAACGGAAAAAATCTGTGCCTTTTTCGGGAATGCAGCTGGGGAGATTTCATCTCATTTTCTCGCCAAAACTGCCCATCGATGTTCGAGATCACTGGCTGGTGCTGAAGCACCAGAGCTGGAAGTTGCCCAATCAGATGCTGATCTCCGGGAAACATCTTAGGATTGGTGTCTAACGCTGTGTATACTGGGATCAATCGCCCAAAATTGTCATCTAAGTTGGAAATCTGCAGCTATGAATCGGAATTTCGCCTCCCTGTCTTTGTTGTTGAAATCACAAGGCTGGGGAGGCCTATCAGAATTTCTTGCTGTCTCCTGCATTCTGCCACCATCGTCATGTCCGAATTCGATCCCCTGGTTTTGCATTCAAAATTCTATCCTTCGCATATTGCTAGAGAACTACTGCTGTTTTGCCCCCCGAAGTTCCCATATTTTTGCTGCTTACTCACCATCTAAACAAGCAAAAATCCTTTAATTATCAGAAATCATCGAAAACGCAAAAAACTTTCGAAATCATCAAAAAACATCGAGAAAAAAACACATTAAAACATCAAACACAAAAACATCTTAAAACAGCATCCAAAAACATCATTTTAGCACATTACAACACTGGTTGGTGGTTTCAACCCCTCTGAAAAATATGCGAAAGTCAGTTGGGATGATGACATTCCATGTATGAAATGGAACAATAAAATTCATTAAAATTCATGTTCCAAACCACCAAGCAGAGTTTATTGGTCTTCAACGTGGTCACTTCCCCATCCACGCCCCATCCACGCCACGTCGGCCACGGCACATGCCCCCGGGTGACATCGAGGCCACCGATAAGGCGATGGCCGGATTCATGGCGGGGGCACCGGCTTCGAGGCGCAAGGCGTGGCCACCTCTCAGGTGTGGTGGGATGGGATTGGGATGAGGATTTGTTATTCCTGCGAATGGGTGGAGATATCCGATCAACTAGGGATATTTCTATATATATATATATGTATATATATATACATATATATATATGTATATATATATATGATATATCCAGTTCAACTGGAGTTGATTGGGATATAACGAACTAGTATATGGAAATGGACATGAGTATTACTAATGGGATTATCAACCCTAATGGATTAGAAACCGTGAGTGGGATTGGGATGAATTTATTGAGATATAATTCCCATGGAGTTATGGATATATCAACTAGTTGATGAAACTACTAGGGATATATCCAATCAACTAGGGATATAAGATATCCAATCAACTAGGGATGAATTTGATGGAAAAATGTTATGGTCGGTCAAAAGCCTGGTACCGGGACGGTCGAAGTCATAGCTGGCTTATGCATGGATTCCCCCAAATAGCGTAATAGGTGTGGATCCAACACCATATGATTGAATTTCTAAACATCCATTACGCTAGTAGTACTAGTTCTAGCATGATTTATGAGGAAGAGTCGAGGTGATCTAAATGGCTATAACTATGAGATTTTCACCTCCAGAAGTTTGGTGATCCATGGGTATCATGATCAGACCTGATGGACCAGAAACAGTGACTGGGATTGGATGAATGACTGGGTTGAGGAATGGGGGATATACCCTCTGGTTATGTCAAAATAGTTATTGAAAATGGCCCATTTGTAGTTGATTTACCTATTAAAGATGGTGATTTTCCAGTTCGCTATGTTAATTTACCAGAGGGTAACTATAGGCATACATACTGGGCTAATACTGGGCATTATAAACCAAGTTAGAACTGGCGGGCCTCACCTAATGGGATATTTCATAGGATGCGTCATGATTTCTTGCTGAGAGCTTTGCTTTCTTTCTCCATGGTGTTTTTTGATTGATGCTTCGTGATTTGGAGAATGTTGTAGGATGCTTTATGATTTGGGGTCGTCTGAAAATTGAGATGAAACCACCTCAAATTTGATGGTTTGCCTATGAAAATGGCAAAACTGCCATGTTGGAAGGATACGCCATTTTCAGACACACCAAATTGCTGGTGATTTCTTGGTGTCTTTTGATGGTGATTCGAAGAGATGTTTTGGGATAGCCATGGATTCCACATGTGACACCACAAACCCCTAATATGAGATGGGGACTTTTCTCCGTTCACTGATGAAAATAACCCACATGTTTTAATGTTTTTCATCCCGCGAAACAAGGGGATGTAAATCATCTACGATCGCCAGCGAACTACTGGTCGGTGACTAAGTTATAAGCCCCTATATAACATGTTGAATCATGTATTTATATGTGTATATATATTATAAATATCTACACCAACATTTAGCATCACCAGTTTTCAAACCCGTTCACCTTTGAAATCCACTCTCCATTGTCGGCGCGTTCTTTTCAGTCAAAGCAATATGCTCTGCACAGAAAACGCTGGCGTCCTCAACTTCCTATGGTTGATAGAGATTACGATCATGCGCATCATAGACGTCCATTGATTACAGTACTGGTATCACGCCATATACCTTGTACTATAGTATCAGAATAGACTTAACCCCTGGATTACGAACAATAAATACACTAATCACAACAAAAATTAGATATCATGTGTTTAAATGTGTTTAACATGTTTACCCTGGATATCTCTCATCATCATCCTATTTTGATCCTTCTATCATCCTCATTGCTCTTTTCTAGTGTCAGTCCAACAGCCTTCATCAACCAAGCTTAAACCGCCCGACTGGACACAGCGTGTTCCATGCCAACACTTCACATTTTCGCAGGCGTGACACGTGGCGTGACACGTGGCGTGACACGTGGCGTGACACGTGGCGCTTCTGACACAACTTCGACACGACTTGTTTCGTGACTTCGTCACAACTTCGACACGACTTGTTTCGTGGCTCAAAAGGAAGGCAACAGCCTTTCCAGTGGCTTCCCAAACCACCAAATGATCAAATGGCTGGAGAGGACGAAGACTCCCGCAAACTCCTGTGATGTGTGGGGAATAACTTGGAGTGAACCTGAGTAGTTGGTTTACTAACCCATGTATAATCCATATAGATACATACATAATCATCTAAGTATATATATATATACATAAATATGTGTGTATCATATCCTAATATGGCCATTACCCACTTAGCAACTTGGATGATCTTGGATGCACATCCGAGTGGACTTCTTTTTTGAAGCTGCTCTTGGTGAATCGCTCTTCGATCCTGATGATCCTAGGGGAAAGCACCCAGTTTTGCACGGTGCTCGGTGCTGGGCTTCCCTGCTTTTTGAACTGCGCAGAACACAGAAATACCTTGCCCCCAGAGATATTCACAATAGATGCGCTGATCATAGAGAATGATCTTAGATGTTGACAATCAAAAATGGATATTGAAAATAGGTGATTTCATGGTGATCTTGTCACTAGGCATTGGGATAACCCCATCCCCATTTCATACTGAAATTCATGCCGCCATTTCACATTGGCGAATGGTCATCAAACCTGGCTGGAAAATCCTCCAGCAAGATGGTAATTTTACCAGCTAGGTTTAGCTCCATCAAAATGGGAGATTTCCCTGATTCCTCTGACGGGACCCATGCTGCGAACCAAAGGTATCCCAGGTATCCCAGGTATCCTGTGGGAATTGCAGACCCCAGAGCCACGTGAGCCCACTGGAGGTTTCCAGATCCCAGATATCTTTATGTCATGGACAGTGTCCCTGCATTGTGTGGTGAAAAATGGTGAAAATCTTCGTATTGCCCAACAGTGAATTTCTCACGGAGTAGTTGAATAGTTCACCAAGATCTGGGCGTTCCGAAAATCAACCGTAAATCCCATAAATCCTGTGCCAATCGTCCTCTAAACTTCCCATCTAAATCTATATTTTGCAAACGGTTACCCTCTGGTAAACTAACATAACTATGGAAAATCACCATTTTCAATGGGTAAATCCACTATAAATGGCAATTTTCAATAGCTATTTTGACATAACCAGAGGATACAATGGTAAATCACCCATTTTTCCTGGTCAAATCCCCCACTTTGTCAAAGGTGAAATCGCCCCTCCTCGAGCCAGAACTCCAGCTTCTTGAGGGCCAGCGCAGAGCCCGAGGCCGAGTCCACCTGTTTCCCGAGGTGAGGCCGGCCGTATACGCCAAAAACCCTCAGAAAATGCTGATTTCAGGCACAAAAATCGGGACTTACCCTCTCGTTATGTCAAAATAACTATTGAACATGGCCATAGAAATAGTTGATTTTCCCGTTAAAAATGGTGATTTTCCATAGCTATGTTAGTTTACCAGAGGGTACTGGCATGTTTGTTGCTGATGAAACTGCTACGTTGATGCACAGTTCACTGCCTTGGTGAACTGTTGGGTTGATTAGGGGGCACAACTAGGATTTAACAGGATTTGACAGGCAAATTAGGATTTAGGGGATGCTGGGATCCAACCAATGACAATTGGGATCTAATCGATGAGAATTGGGATTTAACAGGATTTAAGGATTTCCTTTCCAAAAATGAGAATTAATGAGGAGTTTCAAACATCCACTGGTTGCTTGATTTAGGCATTCCCGAGCTAATCATCCAGCAGGCTTTGGCAGCCACTCACCTGCAATTGGCTGGTTCACCGCTGCGTCGGCCGCGTTGGGGGATCGACAGGAGCTTGAAGCCCCATCGGAAACCAAATGATCTTGAAAATCATGAGAAACAAAAAAAAACAGGGCAGAAACCAATGAAATCAACAACAGATATTTTTTTTACCAAATTGGTCCGTTTAAAAGCAAATCACTACCTCTATGAAGTTTCCCCATCATAAGGCTAGAATCAAGCAAGGCACCATCAGAAATCCCCAACCAAATGAACAAAAACAATAACCTTAACTATCCACTAGCATGGTATAACCCAAATTGTGATTTAGGAGGGTCAACCTCACGAAAAAACAGAAATGGTACAGCAATCGAACAGCGGCACTTTCTTATTTGAATAAAAACAGCATCTACAATTATGATATACCAAACCCGTCGTTGTCGGAAAATGATCTACAAATATCTACTACAAATGGTAGATGTTTCCACTCTTAGGGTATATCAAGGGCTCAAAAATGCGAAAAAACTCAATGCTTCCAGTTCGAAGAAGTCCCGTCCAGTTCGATGGTCGCTCCCGGTCCGACAACCCCATGGTACCAGCACAAAAGGTCCAAAGCTTTCCAGGGCCAAGAGCTGCTGAATGTATCCAGTCCTGGTAGGATGTTGATGCCGAAGTTGATTCCTAAGAGATGGGGATACAACGTGTGTTTAATATATATATGTGTGGGATATCAATGAAATCTATAACTAACCAATGCTGACATGGGAAGATTATGGGATATATACATATATATATATAACCACCACTTTATGATTTGGGTCTGAAAATATTGGCTTTACCAAACCATCCCTGAAGTGCCATGTTTCATGGGGATGATCAACTCGAATCTGAATGGTGACGGGTTGCTGTCCGCCTCCATTTTGCTTCGTAACCCCCAAAAAGATAGACACATTGGAAACCGGGAATCCTGAGTTCCTAGAAATATATATATATATAAATATAGAAATATGTGTATATATATATATGTACAATTATATATATTATATTATATTATTATATAAGAATATAATCTATAATAATCTTTATATAGATCATCCGGGAACCAAAATTCATGCGCATCTTTTTTGGACCCAAAAAAGGTCGCTAGTTGTCCAAGCGGCTCGGTACTGTTGTCCAAATGGTACACCTGTCCTGAGGCAGAGCACCACCAAAATCCACCTGGGCAAATCATGGCAAACGTAAGGATTTCCATATAATGTTTGTATAACTATTGGATTCCAAATTTTGGAATCCATATAATGTTAGATTGATTCTATATGTATAACTATATGGATGTTATGTAGTGGGGATTTCCATATAATGATGGTACCCCTTTGTCGCTGGTTGGTTCATTTCATGGAAAATCCCAATCTAATAGCTGGATGATAACTAGGGGTACCCCTATTTTGGGAAACCTCCATATTGAATTCCAAATTTTGGATGTTTAACCGTTTAACCTCAATCTAAAGATAGAAACAAAGTAGAGTCCTACAAGAAATCGTCGTAGATTGCACCGCTTCTATCTTCTTTGAGGGGTTGACAGGCCCTCTGAGATGCTCATGAGATATCATCATAACACGTTCAACCAATAGGGTCTTCTCCAAAAAAAGGGGAACTCAGCAGTATTATTGATCATCATAAACTGGTTGGTGGTTGACCTACCCATCTTGAAAAATATGAGTTCGTCAGTTGGGATGATGAAATTCCCACATATTACGGAAAAAATAACGAATGTTCCAAAGCACCAACCAGTGATCATCATAAAAAAATCTTGTAGCTTCTCATACTTCGAAATCCCAGAGTATTGCCGTCAGTTCTTGATGCCGTGTACAACGTCAAGCATCATGTAATAATGGCTCTAATGATTGGATGCAAAGAAAACATGTACCCTCTGGTAAACTAACATAGCTATTGAAAATTGTGATTTTCTATAGTTATGTTAGTTTACCAGAGGGCAAACGAAATCGGGCAAGAAAACATGGTTCAAACGGCGTTTTTCCCAACAAAGCAAGCCATCCAATGAATGGTGGTTCTGCATGCACCAAAGTTGCAGAAACGGCATAGTGTTGGACCTGTTCATTTTGGGTTACCAAGAAGATGGTTCTATGTGTTCCTTTATCAGAGGAATTGGTTGAATCCTTCGGAACATCAACCCCATGGTGTCCAGTTTCGAAAGGGAAACCAACCAATGTACTCCACAGAAAACATCCAGGTCCATTCAATTCGTATGATTCCAAGCCAATTATCTTTCACAAACCTGACAGGTTCGCCATTTTTGGAATGATTCTCCTTGTCCCTTCACAGGGACACCACCCAGGAGTTTTACAGAATATGGACCCATGATATCCCATGTGTCGATTTAACTTACCAATCAATCAGTTGTATTAGCTTATATACCCCGTATATCATATTCTGGTTGGTGGTTTTAACATGTTTTAACCATCTTGAAAAATATGAGTTCGTCAATGGGAAGGATGACATCCCATATATCATGGAAAATAAAAACGGTTTGAAACCACCAACCAGTATTACCTTCTGGTAATTTAACATAGCTATTGAAAATGGCCATTTATAGTGGATTTTCCCGTTAAAAATGGTGATTTTCCATAGTTATGTTAAATTACCAGAGGGTATATCCCATTTTTGATGGTTCAAATATGTTTAGGTCCACCTTTGAACCCACCCAATTAACACCGCGAGCACCGCCAAGCAACGGAAAGCATCCTCCGTGTGGTTGTACTTGTCCGTGCAGCAGATGTTCAGATAGTCTGCTTGAGTGTACCTCGTTGGGTTCACTACTTGTGGGTGCATCCTACTTGTAAGTAGTATGGTATAACCTAGTTATATATGGTATAAGTGGATACTTATAACCCAGCACTTATATACCATCCTACTTGTAAGTGCTTAATCATCATGGTATAACCCAGTTATATGTGGTTTATTCATGGGTTCTACGTCGCTTGTGAACCACGCATCCATTTTTTTGGATGCACATCCAAGTGCCCAAAATGGTCATCAAACACGGTCGGAAAATCCAACCGAAAAGGTTCGATGATTATCCCATGTAAATGCCAACCACATTATGTCAATGGATTGGTTTAAGGGAAAATTCTACAGGAAAACACCAGATTTCATGGGAAAAACCATGGTTTCCTGTAGATTTTCCCTTAAACCAATCCATTGATTCATGGAGGTTTCCTATGATTTTTTTTCAGCACCGTGTCGCCGTAGTTTTCAGGCGGGGGTTCTGTGTAGCGTATATCCCAACTTGTGCAGATGGAAATGCCATGGTTATAGACATGTGGCAGTGTGTCAAAACCTTGTACCCCTGGTGAACATCAAAATAGCTGGTAAATGGATGTTCATCCCCCTAAAAATGGTATTAATAGGTATTGACCCATACCCATGTATGTTTCAACTGAACCTCCAAGAACTTCGCTGTTGATGTTCACTTTGCGCATAGTTCAGCTGGTTCCCCCGTGTCATGGGACGAAAGTGAACAGTTTTTTTGATGTTCATGAAATAACTCGAAAAACCATTGAACCATGTTGAACCTTGATTTTGCAAGGCAATACCATTGAAAACAACCCAGTTTGTGCCTTTTTGACATTTGTGGATGGTGGGTTCATTCCGGAGCAAAGGGTTGATGCACTACCCCAACCACACTCTGAAAGGCTCCATGTTTTTTCCTGGTGGCCGAGTGGCCTGAAAAATATACTCGTCAGTTGGTTTCAGCATATGATGAACGGATGTAAAGAAACGATATTTGAAACCACCCATCAAGTGTATATAGATAAAGAGACCAATATGTTCAAGCCCCGCCAACTGACATCCCCTCTGACATGTTATCTGAGATTCCATCTATCTGACATCTTTGCCACCAGGGTCAGCCCCAGGCCCTCATGGTTTACCCTCCGGTAAACCAACATAGCTATGGAAAACCCATGGATTTCCATAGCTATGTGAGTTTACTGGAGGGTAACTCATGCAAATTTAATGTCGCTATCAGAATCTGGATAAAGCCTTTTTATTGCAAGAAAAATCACACATTTACCTACCTTCACCAGCCGAATTACCCAATTGAATTGCTTTGTCCCTTCTTACCACAATGGAATGACGATCAAAATTGGCAAAATGGACTGAACATTGGGCAAATAAGCAGTATCGCCATGTATAAGCAATTATTTCTTTCAAACAGAAAACTATCTAATCATAAGATACATGACAATCAATCTATATTATGATCTGATATTCATATCTATATTACACATCCTATATCTAATCATATCTAATATTTGGTATAAATATATATATATAATATCTAATCATAAGATACAGGACAACCATGTACAATCAATTTATATTTCAATTTATATTCAAAAAATAATTACAACTAGATTCCTAGATCAACTAGATCTATATTCTATATCTATATCTATATCTATATCTATCTATCTATATATATATATTACAGCATATATCACCCCATAAAGACAACCGTTGTGCTGTCACCACGCTCGGTCCACCAACCGGGCTCCCACCGGGCTCCGAGGGCCCAAGGTGCAAGGCTCCGACGCCAAGGAAACCCACGGTGCACACGAGGCCACCAAGCACGCCTCGGATGAAATCGCGGTTGATGGTGGCTGGGAGAATGGTGATTTAAGCAAGGAAAATGGGGAAATTAATAAGATATTATATATATATATACATAGTATAATATGATATAATAATATAATATAATATGATATATAATATAATACAATATAATATAATATGTGTGTTCATTTATTTATTTATAGTATATAGATAGCTGATTCATGATAGCAAACTGGTTGGTGCATCAAACAATGTTGGAAAAACATCCATGATCCGATTGGCCATATTTACCAGAGGATTTTTACATGATCCTTGGAGAAAATTGAAGGGGAGCACCATCAAAATAGACAAAACTTTATGGGATAGTAGGCAATGCCCAAATAAAATCCTGTTTAACGTTCCCAAAAATAGTAAATGACGTTCCTATCTGCAGGCTTACTGTAGAACATACATAATAAGGCACCCAAGAAACCGGATGAAAAAACTAATCAATCTGGATATGATTCACTGGCAAAAACAAATCTGATATAATATGATATAATATGAATGTCTCAGAATTGTTTCTTCTCAATCGATTCCTCAAAAGTCAATCCCTTCGTGGTGGTCAAACGGTGGTCTAACGCTATGAGTTCTGATGGCAAATCCATGCTGCCTCCAATTCACGCATCATGTGCTAAAGCCACTGCCATGTGGTAAACCCGAATAAATTGTTGGGGTCTCAAGTGTTCTATGCCCCCAAAAAAAAAACTGGTCAACAAGTTGCCCATTTTGGAGGCTGAAGTGTCTTTAACATGTGGAGAACAAATCCCCGAAGTTGGAAGTGATTGAAAAAATTGAGAAGGGAAATGCTACATCCGGATGCACTAGGTCACTTGTAAGTCCCCTTTTTGGGGGGATCCCATTTATAACTAACTAACCAGTGATAGTTATAACTAATATAACTAATAGTCACTAACCAGTGATAACTAGCCACCCATTTATCAATAGTTACTAACCAGTGATAACTAGTCACCACATCTGGAACCTCGGACGATCCTCGTATCTGGACAAGCGGCAAACTCCCCGCAGGAGGCGTTCGTTGATATCCAGCTTCGGCCAAAGCACCTACCGGATCCCCACCTGTCTCCAGTCCCGGTGGAAACCCTTGGAAAAAACAAGTCGCAAAAGGCATGCCAAGTCGCTTAGAGTTCTCCGGAAAACTGCAGAGATGCCATAGTTGAACTGTTTTTTGACGGATTTTCAGCACATGATGAACTTGACAAAACTTGACCCGGCAGATATGTTTTGAGTTGGAAAAAATAGATGATCGTCTCATAGGTGACTCATCCCCAGCCAAATTCCCAGAGTTCAGCTATTCTCGAAGAATGAGAAAAAAATACAGTCATGTGCGCAAAACAATGCCATAAACCACCCCAAATTTTGGAATGGTAAACATACCCTCTGGTAATTTAACATAGCTATTTAAAATGGCCCATTTATAGTGAGTTTTCCCATTAAAGATGGTGATTTTCCATAGCTATGTTAGTTTACCAGAGGGTAGCACCTCTAAAAATGGTGGCGGGGATGAGCTACGGCATTGTTTTACCAATGTGAAAATTGGCAGAGTTCATCATCCAGCCGAGGCTTGGAAGTGATGTTCAGCTGGAACAAACATCCCTGAAATTCCATGGTTCAAGATATATTTCATCTGGCCGATATAGTACTGATATATCATGAATACTTCCATAATTCTCAGGTTGATATTATATATATATACAATTATACATATAATCATATATTATTAATTTTTCAAATCCATATTTGTTGCCATCCATGATATCCATAATTTCTCTGTGACGAGTTGCCCAAAAGAACACAGTTTCATCACCGCGCAAGGCGCTGCGTTCCCGGCGCGCCTTGAGCGTAATGACTTCCACCAGATTGTAACCTTGGCTTTCGGATCCAACAAGGTGAGAACCATAGAATCGTTCGGAAGGTGTTTGTTGGTTTATTACTCGGTGATTTTTACGATGGTCTTAATGGTAGATATCTATAATGGCTTTATAAACCAACAAACAGAACAGGATATTTCAATTAGTTGGGGGTTATTCGTTCACTAGGTTATAGAACTATGGTGTATGGTCGATATACAGAACTAGTTCATGGATTTATAAACCAACTATATATATATAACATAACTTCGGGGCCTCACCTCGAAATGATGTCATGATAAGCAGAAACTAGTGTGATGCGAATGAGCAATGAATAGTAATGATAATATTTAAAAAAAATGTATGTGATAATTTTTTTTAAAAAAAAAAAAAAGATGATCATTTTGAGCTGGCATGAATAATTCTTGGTGGATTTGACAACGAGCTTCTGGGGATAAACCAACCATACGTTGATGACATCATTGGTATATACCCTCTGGTTATTTAACATAGCCATTGGAAAATCACCATTTTTAATAGGTAAACCATCTATAAATGGGCCATTTTCCATGGCTATGTTAAATAACCAGAGGGTAATGGTATTTGACTATGTGCGACAAACCCACATCGGCAAGAGCCAGGAATCTCTTTCAAGAAATTAGCTTTTATGTAACATGATGTAAGCGAAAAACATATGGCTGTGAGTCAAAACCCTGGCACCCGGATGGTACCCTAAAATAGCTGGTGTAGCTGGATGGTTCTTCCCCATCCAAGGGGCTAATACTAGATTTTGACCCATCCCCATGCGATAGAATGATGCTTCCTACTTGAAAAGGATTCTGATACCTCCGGCTTTTATCACTTGAAAACTGAATCTTGGATTAAGATGGATTAAGCCTCAAAGAAACAGGCCAAGTGTTTAATGGACGCTCCCCTTTCTAATCATCAGGGCCGGTCGGACATTCCTCTCTGGCGCCTCTGGTAAATGTGCAAAGATGGGGAAAAAAAACGATAAAGACATCTCCGGTTCAAGACGATATTGTTCAAAAAGAAAACTCACATGATATAATCACATGATATTTCCATCAAACCCACATGTAGAAAGATTGTATGATAAAATGTTATATCTAAATTTCCATAACACCTATATTTATGATAAGATGCTATATTTAAATATCATTTATGATAAGATTCGGTATATTTAAATGTAATATTTAACCCAGCCATGCCTTTTTTTTTCATCAACAACTCGACCCTGTTTTCAGGCTTCGACCTCCCACATAGAGGCATGCACCCATGTTGTGCACGTTGCAGGCCAGTCTAGTCGCCACAGAAATGCGATTTACCTGGGCTCGGTGTCAGACGGTGTGGTTTCACTGGTAACCAACCACGCCTTTAAGCGCCCTTTGTGTAGTGGGGAGCTCACCCATGAAATCAGAGGTTAGGATCCACCGTAAAAAGCGGTAGGTATGCTGCAAGAATGGCGTTAAGCCATGAAAAACAGATATGTATCGATGGATGTGTATATATATATATATATCATCCTTTCCCCCGATCACAATAACACCCAAATGTGTGTCCGAAAAATAGCAAATCCAGCACAATCCACCAGGGTTTCTCAGGGGTTTGTTTTTGATCAGGGCGGGGATTGAGTGGATCTAGACTCATACTTAACCCTAGGTCCCCTAGGTCCTAGGTATGGTAGGTGTAACTCCACTTAGATGATCTTCTCTGTGGGTGTTTTTACAGGGGCCATCATGGTGGGATATCCAGGACAGCTGTGAAACACACGTGCCACGTGTTGCTTCGGGCCTTGGAACTTGGGAAGCTCCAATTTTGGATGGCTGGCAGGATACCCTCTGGTAAACATACAAAAAGCTATTGAAAATGGTCATCTATAGTTGATTTACCCATTAAACATGGTGATTTTCCACCGTTTTTTGTATGTTTACCAGAGGGTATGTGTAAGAGAGACTGGGAATGTCATCAACAAATGTTGGGGCTTTTTCCCGCGGAAAAAACTCAGAAACGGGGCCCAACAAGTGGAGCCACCACCAACGAAAGGGGAAACAAAACCAAGAACCATGAGAATCAAAGAAACCCCAGAGTAGAACGAATAAAAAGTGTTGAAAATGTGGACAGAAAACTCATAGAACTGAAGAGGTGAACGACCAAGGCTTTTCGCGGGTTGTTTATCAACATTGGGCTCTCGAAGCTTAGAGTCCGATGATTACTGGAACCAAATCATCAACTAGTGACTCTGGGCTTCCGAAAAAAAAAAAAAACATATGGCCAGGACTGGAGAAAACCACCAATGATGATGGAGCATGGGCGTCGTGGTCAAACACTTTGCACACGGAGAGTCATCTTGCGTTTCAAATCCTTCAAGATTTGAGTCATTAGTCATTGGGGATCATCTGTTTTCCCACATATGACTGGAAAATAATATGTGTATGTATAATATATACCCTCTGGTAAACTAACATAACTATGGAAAATCACCATGTTTCATGGGAAAATTCACTATAAATGGTGATTTTCCATAGTTATGTTAAATTACCAGAGGGTGTATATATATACATATTATCAGATATCATATATCATACATGAAACATCGGGGTGCCAATTCAATATGTGATAATGTGCAGCAGTTTTACAGCGGTCTAGCTTTTGTGCATAGGGCCTCAGGCTTTAGAATGCACAAAAACAATGAGAACTGGTTCTGCTATAAAATGCGTTTCCAGAAAACTCACGCCGAATTGGCATCCAAGTTCATCCAAATTCGAAGACACTCAGAAACGCCTCTTTCAAAAGGGGTCAGGAAATTCTTTTTAGATAGAGGTATTTTAGAGTGAAGGTGCTCAAATATTTAGTGTTTTTCTTCTTGTATAGCATTCCGTAGCAACAAAATACGGTGGTATTCTCATGTACCTTTTGTAGCATGGCCACATTCCAAGTCAGCAGTTCGTAGCAATTCCAGAAAATTCCTTAAAGTTCCTTAAAAATCCTGAAAATTCCTTTAACACATCCTTAGAATTCCTTAAAATTCCTTAAAATTCCTTAAAATTCGCTAATCAATCGATATAAAGAGATCCTGGAAAAGCACTGGTTCCATTCTGCAATAAAATGTTCCAAACACTCATTTTTTGCAATAAAATTGAAATGGAATTTTAACATGTTAAAAATCATCAGGATTTCCCTGGCCTTTTTTAATTGCTGAGACCAAGCCCTTAACAATAAAATGACTAACCTGACATCCATTTCTAGTGTGGAAATCGCCATGGGGATCATGAAACCACAAGGCACAGAACCGGGTACAGAACAAGGGGGTTCTTAAGAACAATGGTCACCAGTGGTTTCCCCTGGAATGCAGCCATTTCTGTGGCGAATTTTTTGGGATGTGAAATGATCGTCTGCAAGACATGCATGTACCCTCTGGTAAACATACAAAAAACGATGGAAAATCACCTTTTTCAATGGGTAAATCCACTATTTCTATGGCCATTTTCAATAGCTATGAAAAATTACCAGAGGGTAGGTCGAACTTCGGTATGTGTTTTTGTTCCTTCCTGACACCCGAACTCGTCCAAAAAGTCGTGGGTCAATATATCCGCATGAGTGGTGGTTCAATCAATGCTTTTGCTTATAGTAAAATCTCCACGAAATTGAACAAGCAGTCCCCGTCAAGTTGGTGATTGAATATCCCCACTTCCGGCTCATATCCTGAATGAATTTGAACTCCATCCTAGTTAGCAACAGATCATACAACAACCAGTGTGAAAACTGAAGTCCCAATTGAAGAACCACTGTTCATGGACTGGCAATTTTGCTGCACTGTCAACTTGCACTGTTGCATTCACACTGGATACGCTGAAATCATCAATTAGGCGGACCTTAACTGTATCACCAGAAGACTGCTTAATGCCAAACCTCCTGCTGACTCCGCTTCGTCAGACAACTCGTCCAGACCATAAGGATCGTCAAGCCATCCACATTCAAGCTCTTCAAGAGTTTTGGAGAACACCTCCTTGTCAATAAAATCGTCTCCCAACGACCTGACCGAAGAAAGAGACCAATTCTGGCGTCCCTGGCAGTTGAGGCAAGCTCGCCCTCTGTGATTTTAGCTGGCTTGAAACACGCATCAAAGAACGGGACATGAGGCGCAGTTCCAGAGAGTTGGGTCCGGCAGTTACTCGTCAAAGACCTGGCAATCACGATAGTCATTGCTGGCCACTTCCCAATCTTGAGATAACCCAAATGCAAGTTGAATGCTGACCACTGATCAGTCATTCTTTGGTGTCAAACCATTCATTTTACATTATGTCAATTATTGATAACCTTTTTCAACTACCTACCAACCTCCTGTTTCCCACCACACCCTGCATTTTGTCCGAGAAACCTCAAAATTTCCCCAAATTCGCCGCTGAAAAGATCATCCCATCCCTCGACTCGTAAGTAACTAATCATAAGACTTAGAAGTACTTAATCTGGTTGGTGGTATACTTACCCCTCTGAAAAATATGCGAAAGTCGGTTGGGATGATGACATTCCCAATATATGGAAAGTCACAAAAAATGTTCCAAACCACCAACCAGTAATGCATTTATACATAGGATAGGCCACAAGTCCTCAACGAACCCCAGGGTGAAGCCTCGCCGAGGTGCCCTGGGCACCACCGGGATGGTGCACACGATGAGCATCCCAATGGGCGGCGCCACGGCGCGCGCCGCCGTCAGCAGCCGCAGCCTCGGGGTGCCACCCAGGTAGACATTGGACAACTCCCAGGGGTACTTGGAGAGGAGCAGGCTGAGAGAACCTCGGCGAGCCACCGGGGTAAAGCATGGCTTTTAAGTAGACCCTCTGGGGTTCCAAAAAAAACTACTTGGTGGCTCATCCCACTTAGTAAGTGGGTTGGTTCACCCCAGTTATAAGTGGATTAACCCTACTTATCCCATTTATAACTGGGGTTATAACCCACTTACTAAGTGGGATGAGCCACCAAGTAGTGACTCTGGGGTTCCGGAAAAAAAAAAGAAATCCCCATATGGCCAGGACTGGAGAAAGTCACCAATGATGATGGGTTTTTGTAGACGTGAAGTCACTTGGGTTACAAGCCATTCTGGTTGGTGGTTGAGCCTACCCCTCTGAAAAATGAAGAAGTTCGTCAGTTGGGGTTACCCTCTGGTAAACGTTTACAAAAAAACGATGGAAAATCACCATGTTTCATGGGAAAATCAACTATTTCTATGGCACTTGCGTTTCAAATCCTTCAAGATTTGAGTCAGTAGTCATTGGGGATCATGTGTCTTCCCACATATGATTGAAAAATAATATGTGTATGTATAATATATATATATATTATATATATATACATATTACCCTCTGGTAAACATACAAAAAACTATGACTAACATAACTATGGAAGTTCACAATTTTTAATGGGAAAACTCACTATAAATGGCCATTTTCAATTGCTTTTCGTTTGTTTACCAGAGGGTACTTGAAGTCACTTCAGCGAAGTTCTGGTGGAGTGGCCATTTTGGCGTAGCCAGATTTTGGGAATTCATATCGCTAGAGTCCAGATGTTCATGGCGAAAACGGTGGTGAAAGGTGGTGAAAGGTGGTGAAAGGTGGTGAAAGGTGGTGAAAGGTGGTGAAAGGTGGTGAAAGGTGGTGAAAGGTGGTGAAAGGTGGTAACATGGCTGGCTGCCAAATCCTTGAATTGCTCTGTGACATGCGCAGGGTTCACCAGCCATATGTGGATTGAAAAAAAAAAACATTGGCCCCATGGTTTAGTAAGACCCACCCTTTCTCCCCAGCAAACCACGCTTCAAGAGCCTTATTACACCAACCGAGAAGTGACCACTGTTGGCTGATGATTCAGCGTTGTGCTGAGCCCCAAAAGTGTGCGAACTGCGGGGGAATCACCTTGCATCCATGAAAAACTGGTTGTAGTTTCCAGGGGTTCCCAAAATGGATCAGTTCATAATCCCTAGACATAACTATAGTAGGTAGGTCAATAACCCCTTTTATAATCTACCAACCAACGATCATACATTTTAGCAGCGTTATCATATACCATTATACCACATTTTTTCTTGGCTGAATCAAATCCCATTGTCATTTTGGGCATTGCTGATTAATCAGTCAACGTGAAAGACCCAGCAGAGCAATGTAAGCACTTGGCCCAAAGAGAGCCAATCCAATAAAAATGGTGGGTTTCCAGGTTCAAATCAAAGATTGGGACGGGTTCCCCCATGTCTATGAATGTTCAAACAAGAAACCGAATCAATTATAGGTAGTTACATGTATATATAATTACATGAGTTTACTAAGTTTTCGAAAGTCTGACATCTTTGTTAGCGAAAATTCCACCATCTGCAAGCTAACCCTTCCGGAAAACCAGGCCCCATGACGCTCGTGGCTCCGAAAGACCGACCAAAGTGAAACTGAAGAAGAGCTTTGCAGCGGGATAGTTTGACTTCGAAACCATTTCGCTCACCTGAAACACATCCGGTGGCCCATTGCGATCCCTAGGGGCAAAGTGTGAGCACTGAGAGCAAGTTCCAAACCCTCTATTGTTCCAAAGGTGGTAAATCAGGGATTGGAGGATCCTGATTATCCCCAATCTATTGGGCAATTTACCTCCCTATTTATATATATATAATGTTGTATTACCATAGAAATAGTGGATTTACCCATTGAAAATGATGATGTTCCATCGTTTTTTGTATGTTTACCAGAGGGTATCCTCACCATGTCTCCATTGTATGAATGAATCCCCCGAGTCTCAGAATCTCCATAAAATCGGTTGATAAGAGACCCCAGCATGTTTGAGGGGGGAACATAGTGATATATTGCTATATCGATAGCCCATTGTATCCCCATTGATCTCCCATAAAAAATCCCCATGTTGAATGGCTAAACCACCATATTATCTGAAGATTCTGTTACCCCATTCCCTCGGTTTTGGTTTATCATCTGTTCTCCGTGATATGAAATGCCAATTTGATCCAATTGGGGGGGGTATATACGTTCTACATCATTTTCGGACACACCCATACATATCACTGAGCCATTGTAAAACTGATACTCGGAGATAAAATACGTTCTGCATCACTTTCTGAAATATTCTGAAACCACCATCCCTCCCCCTCCTTCCCTTCTTCCCATCTTCACGGTAAGGGACTGTCTCAGCGTGATAACTTCTCCCTGAAGGGCATGCCTGAGATCTGAGACTCTTCAGAAAATGTACAGGGGACCATGGTCTTACCAGCCAAATATGGGTATAAAAACCATGAAGGTTTTTAATGAGATGTAATTTGACATCATGGAAGATATCACCAACTTGATATGATGTTTGGGGTTTTCCAAAGATGAGGGATTATGACCCCAAACTGGCAGCCTCTTTGATTCCGGACCTGGGTCCGTAGCCATGAAACCAGATTGTTGGCCTGGAAGAACTTGCTCCACCCCAAAGCTAGGAGTTAAAATGCTTGAAATCTTTAGTTCCTATCCACTTTGACAGAGTATTCCCACAGATATAAGATACCCTCTGGTAATTTAACATAACTATGGCATATCACCATAGAAATAGACGTGGATTTTCCCATGAAAAATTGTGATTTTCCATAGTTTTGTGTATGTTTATCAGAGGGTATTCACATGGATCCAGAGAATTTTCACATTTCCATAGCTGCACCCCAACGACATGTGATGGCCTCCTGCTTCGGACTGCTCCTTTATTTCCCCCACCAAAATGGCAACTTCAGAGCTGGTCCCAGTATCCTAACCATAATCATCCAGAATATGTTGTGAAAAATACATATCATATTATATAATATTATATATATATATACATATTGCATTGAATATTATTCATGTATACTACATTTATATATGTATATATATATACATACATACATGCATACGCGCATATTTATACAATGGATTTCTATGAAAAATAGGCTCCGCCCAGCGTCCTGGTGCAAGAAGCAGGCGTTCTTCGCTTCGAAGCCACTCATCGAGTTGAAGGCTCCGGCAGCAGTGGCCAGCAGCAAGGAGAAAAAGCCGCAGGTCACCCCCAGCAGAAGCCTCGATGGTTGGGGGGGGTCCAATATTTTAGGGCTACCCTCTGGTAAACATACAAAAAACTATGGAAAATCACCATTTTTCATGGGAAAATCCACTATTTCTATGGCCATTTTCAATAGCTATGTTAAATTACCAGAGGCTACCCAAAAGCATCCTAGACTAAATATGTTTGGAATAATTTGGTATTGAAACATATTGACACCCATGGTTTTTGGGATCCCACATTTTAGGAAACCCCCATATGAGCAGTGAGCAGTATTAAAAATGCAGCCCACAATGTTGGTTGGTAAAGAACGGGAATTCCATTTCATGGATAGTGAAAATCCTTTTTTTTCTGGAGAGATTTTCGTTGATCCCCTGAAATTACTCAGCCAAAAGGATCCCTTTGTGTGGGCTTTCGGTCAGGGTACCCAGTGTTGGCTTTTGGTCACCCCCAAAACTACCTGGTTGGTGGTATACCTACCCTCTGAAAAATATGAAAGTCAGTTGGGATGATGACATTCCCAATATGGAAAAATAAAAAATGTTCCAAAGCACCAATCAGCTACCTATTGTTGATTTCTAGTTTTTGACCCATCCCCATGTCCGGGCATGCCGATCTTTCAGTTGCGGATCTCAACGGCTAGAAATGACAGGGTCGAGCCAGCATTTGGGGATCTGTTCCAAACATCAGTGGCCACATGCTTTGGATGCCCCGAAAATGATCATCGAACATCAGGCTACATTCTACATCTAGCAATCCATGAATCTGAAACATTCGGAAGTTTCTGAGATGGTGTTCACTTTTTTTGTGGAACAGCTCATCATTTATAGTAAGATCATTTGTGGAATGGTCAAACCATGGTGCTTGGTGCTTCTGGTCATCGATCCCATGGGAATGACGAGGTCACCCCCACGGGTTTTCTGGTTCCAAACAGCCTATCAAGTCACAAAATTCATATCGGCAGTGACTTGGGTGAATTTTTCCAGAAACAGATTAAAATCCATAAGACCATTCCTGGTCATTTAAATTAGTATAAGACCAGGAACGGAATTAAATTCTTCCATAAGACTGGAACATTTCTCTATGACCAGCAGCATTCCGGCAGCCCATCTTCTGTTGAAGGCTGCTTGATTCGGCGCCACGAAGGAGTTCACCGGAACCTTTTTTGTCTTCATGGGGGCAGGATGAGTGGTGGTGTTTCATGCCAGTTTCGAACAGGGTGTTGTTTTGGAAATATATGGTAACAATCATAGTAGTAATAATAATAACAATAATAGCAATAATAATAATAATAGCAATAATAGCAATAATAGCAATAATAGCAATAATAGCAATAGTAGCAATGTGATTAACAACGACAATAAGTAGTAATAATACTAATTATACTTAGATTAAAATACTGGTTGATATCTGACATCATTTTTGGGGATTTGCCCATCAAATATGTACTATCCAAAATTATGGTAGGTAGAACTGACGGGAATGGCTCGGAACTGGGGTACCAATAGACCCGTAAAATTTATCATGTCTAGTGTTTTAATCATCCTCAGAGCCATGCCCATATGGTTACCGTATGGGCTCAAACAGGCTAGCAAAGGAACGACAATCTCATGTTTAATGGTTGTTCAAGCGCTTTTCGAACACCGAAATGGTCAAAAGGCCTTGAAAGGCCTTGCTGCTGACGATAAGGCAATTTGAGCATGTTTAAATTGCAAGCAATACAAGAACAAGAAGCATCCAGAGCAAACCGAAGCAACAATGTCCTGGTGTTTTTTCTGCCAACAAGGGAAAAATATGTTGAAATAGGGTACCCCTAAATCACTGAGTCTATCGTCATGTTAGTTTATCGTCATTTCCCAATGGCCACAAATGGCTGTTTATACTCCATGTTCAGACAAAGCCATCTGTTTTTTTCGTGCTGGCTTATAACATCTTATAACATTACTGGGTGAATGGGTTCCTCAGAGCAAATCAGGCAACCATCATCGATTGGTAGCGAAAATCGATGCTTGAAACCATGGCTTTTTTACATGCTGAGAACCCTTGAGGCTTTCCGCTTTCGATGTTCAAAAAAACTGAGACAAAAATCCCATCCATATGCCGAGTATCTGGACTTTGCCGACTTTGCGAGCTGCTCACTTCAAAGCTCATCATGCGAGAACCCCCCAGGCCGGAAGTAGCGCCGTTTCCGGAAGTTTCTGGGATGCTCTACCCGGGCTGTAGGTGGATGTTCACATCCGTATGGTAATGTAGGTTCTTTGACATCGCCATATACCCCAAATTGAACACGTCCAATAAACGAACATAGGCTTAGCCAGCCTAATTCCAGGCCACCGTAACTGGCTTGACTGAAAAAAAAACTCCGGGACTCCGGGTTGGTGTTTTGCAAAAAATGACACCACCATTAACCAGACCTTCATTTGCGGTTTCACCCATTCAGTGCCGTGTTGTCTTTTGAGAAAGGCATCTCTGTCCGATCTGCGCTGGTCGATCATGTGGACCCTTGATCCAAATGGTCTGCGACGAAGGAGTCGGGTCAGAAGATTCACGGGCCATGGTGGTGCTGTGACGACACTGTCGTCCATATCTCCATTTAAAGTGTACAATGGTACGGGATGGGGCCATATCTTGGCCTTCAGTTGCCTAAAAAAGTGGCTGAATTCTATGGTTTATGGTAGATATAACTATAGTTGATGGATGTCAGGCTTCACTATGGTTTATGGTAGATATAACTATACTACACTGTAGCATCTGTAGCTAATGGAGTTTATAAACCAACTTATAACTGGGGGCACCATCCTGTGGACCCTCTGACACTCTACTCTTACCATGGAAGCAAACCTTTCAGAGTGACCATTCCGCTGTGGGATTTTGAATGGCACTGCTTGGGATTCATCAATTGATCAAGGCATTGAAGGCATGAACAACTGAGTCCGAACCATGATGATTCGCAAAGTGGCTGATTTCACCACTGCCACCTCCCAGGTGGACGTGGGATCCTTGGACTCTCCCCGTGGTATCACCATGGTATCACCATGGTATCACTTGCCGAAAAACATCGACGTAAATCCCCATCGTGGTCACTAGGTTTCCAACCACATTTCCGTGAAAAAAAACATATCACTGCACTATATCACGACATGTCACCATTTTTTCCAGGTTGGTTGCTTATGAAATCTCTCAACTCCCCATTTTTACGTCGTCACAATTTTGAATCACCAGAATCACCAAGAAATGGGTGGTCAAATCATTGGGTACCCCAAGAATTGGATGGTTAATACTAAACATGTGCCCTCTGGTAAACTAACATGGCGAACTGGAAAATGGATGAAAATGGACCATTTAGTTCGTTGATTTCCCTTTTTTCAGTTCGCATGATGATTTTTTCCAGTTCACCTACCATCCCCAGATCAACGCCATCCATTGGATGGTTCCCCAGATCGCCTGCGATGTACAGAAGGCCAATCGCCAGGCCTGCAGCTGATTGGCTCTTCTCCTGTCGCGACGAAAACGGCGGCCCTGGATGGGAGTAGCCTCCAGCAATTCCACTGAAAAAGGATAGAAAAGGTTCAATTTATCACATTTTATCACTAGTTTAGTGGGAAATGAGGTGTCGATCTCAACTTGGGGGGTCCTATAAATGGATGTTCAAGCACCACAAGTATGGTCTGAAACATAGCTTTTAGGTATCATTCCCATTTCACAGATGTTATGTAAGTTGCAAGAATGCAGCTGTTCACTTTTTGTTGATGGGGGGTGATCCAGCCATGGCGGAGTCAACTGATTGACAGAGGACTCCCGGAGGAAGATACGAAGATACGCCACGATTCAAACACCCACAAATTGTGAGAATTTTTGACGCAAAAATAATTAGCCTTTTTTTCCATGACGAATCCAAGGGGGGCTGATTTTTCTGTAGCAAAACCATCGATTCTCGGATCCCTTTGATTCTGATCACGGTGGGCCTCCTACCTCATTAGTATCAATGGACTGTATCAATATTTACCCTCTTGTAATTTAACATACAGTAGCTATTGAAAATGGTGTTTTATAGTGGATTTACCCATTGAAAATGGAGATTTTCCATAGTTATGTTAGTTTACCAGAGGGTATCACGAAAAAGATGGGGCTTTACAATGTCAACCCCAGATTCATCAACTCCGGTGATGTTCGGTGCCTGCTTGCTGCTGTTGCGCTTCAAGACCAGGCAACAACAGGCCACGAAACACAGGATGGCCGTGTACAACTTGAGTGGAACGAGTGGAACTCGTGGTTTCAAGCCATCTGAAAAACGTGAAAGTCAATTGGAATCATCATCCCAAACATGGTTGAACATGGAAAAAAATGTGTGAAAACACCA